ATATCCCACAACTTCAAAAGGAAAGCAAAATCAGAAAGAATTCCTGGATCAATAGGAACACAGAGGAGGTAGGTAAATGAGTAAGCATCAATAAAATATAATTCATCTTTTTTTTCCTTTAAAAAAGTTATAGAGTTATAGTCTTTGGCTATCACACAAATGCTCAAAGGTATTATAAGCCAATTTATAAGTTATTTATTACTTATTTGTTAGAGATAGAATGAATCAGAAATGCAGGCGCCAGAAGGAAGAAACTTAGAAGGAAACATAACCGTATATTTTCCTATGGTAACGGTAAGCAGAGGTGGTGTTGTGTTTGAATGAGCTTTCCATTCATGCACGTGCTTCAATCTCTCACCTCTAAGATGCATGTAAAAATTCAAAGGACAAGACTAGGATGAGGGTAATGCCAATAGTAACAAATTTCTTAAGATAGGAAGGGCAAAGGTTATGGCAATTGTATATTCATATGTTTTTCCTTCTACTTATTCAACCTCAGTATTATATAGCCTCACATTTTGGAGTTTATAAACAGACATTCTTGGCTTCTGGATTTTTCTGGGTTAATCTCCAGGGCTTTAAAAGAGGCTCTGTAGGAACTGGTGGAATATTACCATCTCCCTATCTTCAAAGACTCAGAAAATCCATCTAAAAGTGGGGGTCTGGCTGAAACCGGTTTGGCTCAGTGGTAGAGCGTTGGTTTGTGGACTAAAAGGTCCCGGGTTCGATTCTGGTCAAGGGCATGTACCTTGGTTGCGGGCACATCCCCGTTAGGGGGTGTGCAAGAGACAGCTGGTAGATGTTTCTCTCTCATCGATGTTTCTAGCTCTCTATCTCCCTCCCTTCCTCTCTGTAAAAAATCAATAAAATATATATTAAAAAAATAAAAGTTGGGGTTTGGGAGAGCTCTACTTTTAATAATCACTGGCAGGGCCATAATTAGGTCAGGATGACTAGAACTCTGTCACAAGACACCCAAATTTAGAGAGCACACGTTTAAGGGGGAAAAAAATAACAGCAACAAAAAAGAATACCTTATATAAGACAGTGTAACATTTTAAGCTTCTCAGCAAATTTTCACACCAGATCTCTAGTCACAAGGCTACTAGCTCCTCTCGACAGTGAGGCCATGGGATTGGACAGAGGAAGATGGTGCTTGAAAGCCAAGGTCAAGCACAGAGACTTCTCTGACCCTTTGTATCCTAAGAGCTTGACCTTTTGTCTCCTCCTTCCACTTGCTTCATCCACTGCCTGGCACACAGTGGACTGAAGTTGTCAAAACCGCTGGTCATATTTATAGTTCTTGCTGACTGTGTCAGAAGCTTGGCCTAAGTTGAAGGTGCCGGGAGTGATTTACCCACTTCCAGCCCTGACATGTACCCACCAGGAGTCATATACTCAGAGAGTCAACCTCTACTTACACTGGAAGATGAAGAAAGACAAAGCAGTTTTGCACTCAGCCCTCACTTCTCCACACACTTGTCCTCAAGTTCCCACAAAAATCTTTATAGCTTTGATCACTGGAACTCTGCAAACATAGAACAGGTATGTACCCTGGTTCTGGTGAGAAATTTTTCATACAACACAATAAGAGTTTTATAAAATTTTAAATGGCTGTGACATTTCTTCCTCTTAGGTTGCTCCTAACAAGATTTCTCAGTTAAACATTTTCAACAAGTCCATATTTTTAAACATACCAATTAAAATGACAGGTCATCAATTTTCCACACAAAGAAATAAGAGACTGTGCATAGTAAACAACTACCATCATTGCTGAAAAAGGTTATGTTGTTGATATCATTTCCATTTGAAATGATCTGTAATACTCCTATAAATATTTTGACTAATTAAAAATATTTTTGGTAAATTTAGAATTCTAGGAATTCTTCAGTTATTTTCCAAGTAGACTTAAAAATATGCTTTTATTAATTTTCAGAGGGAGGTAAGGGGATAGAGAGATAGAAACGTCAACGAGAGAGAGAGGAACATCACTGATGGGCTGCCTCTTGCACATCCCACACTGAGAATTAAGCCTGCAACCCAGGCATGTGCCCTGAATGGGAATCAAACCGTGACCTCTTGGTTTCTGGGTTGACACTCAACCACTGAGCCACACCAGATGGCCCAAGTAGACTTTTAAGCCATGTTGTCCTTTGCTTTAGGTGTAATTTATATTTAACTTAAACAAACTTTTTAGCCAAAAGAAGGGAATGAGACACCACAAAGCCAAACATAGAGTATTGTCTGAACATCTGCCATTCAGGATCATCTGGATCATTTGCCTTTGTTAAAATAGCTAAAAGTGAACTACACAGAAACAAAATTCAGGAAGCACTCTTCAACTTCTTGTGCTAATTGCAGATTAGATGCACAGTGTCATATAAACTGTTGGTCAAATATTCTATATAGAGCTTGTCATGTCTAATGTCCTCCTCCTGTAGAAATCTTACATATAAAATTATTTTGCTTTTTTTTTTCTTAATCCCAACTCATATGCACAAAGTATGTGATTATCAGAGGGGGAGGTAGGAGAGGGAATGGGGGGGATAATTGATGATGGGAGGTTACTTGACTTAGAATAGTGAACACACAATACAATATATAGATGATGTATTATAGAATTGTACATCTCAAACATATAAACTTATTCACCAGTGTCATCCCAATAAATTCAATAAAAATAAAAAGTTAAAATTAAAAAAAAATTTATTTTCTCTATGTAATGACTTAATCTTTTACCTATCTTAATGTTATGAAGTGCAATAAAAATTAAACAGAGATCATCCTCATTCATGATCATCAGCCTCAATGTAATTCTCAAATTATAGCTAATAAAAAGTCTCATCCGGAACTTATTTTCAGTTTTTTCACCCTTTCTTTTGCCCTCTTGGAGCCACCTAATTTTTCACTAAATAACTTTAAAACTTAGAAGAAGTAATGCTTTCTTTTGAAAGATGCATTAAAAGTGATTAAATACTTTTTTATTGAATGTGCCTACCATAACTTGAATATCTTTTTAGATGAATCTTAAGGGCCAGTGATATAAAAATGTAATTGGCTAAATTTGGCAAAGTGTGAGGCACAATTCTAAAGTCCTCAATTTCAGAAAAACAAAATAACGAGCGTTTAGAATTCAATTTCTTCATAGTAATAGAGAATTCTAGAGTATTCTGTAAGATAATTCTAGAGACATCCTTACTTAGAAGCACGTGTATTTTAAAATGACAGATGCACAAGTTTAGTCTACACACACATGCACACACACATAAGCACATATACTCACAAGCTTAGGTTTAGATACATCTAACTAATCACAGAAATATGTATGGCATACTTCAAAAGTAAGGCCAAACTTTAATCTACTCTAAGAAAATATTCCCATTAACTTGTCACCACACTTTCAATGACATGAGCAGGTGTATGTATCCCTAAGTGAAAACACTATGGAACCATCAAAATGTTTTGGTCTAATCTAGGGCTTTTCACCCTTGGCACTATAGACATTTTAGACTGCATGATTCTTTCTAGTGGAAAATCTGACCTGTGCATTGTGAGTGTTTAGCAGGATTCTTGGCCTCTACCCACTAGATGCCAGTAGCTCTCTCCAAATCATGACAATCAAAAATGTCTCCAGACATTGCCAAATGCCAGCAGATGGAGAGGAAAATCACCCCATTTGAGAAGCAATGGTCCAAGTAAACGTTATGAGTTTGGGATCGGTCTTGCCTTTCAGAAACCACAAATTTATAATTAAACATTGTACAAATCTATTGCGCAAATCTATCCCAGGAATCAAAACAAGATGAAATATTTCTAGATAGTACTTTCAATGGAACTGTGTTTCGCTGGCTTTATGGGACACATTAATTACATTTTAACAATTTTAACAATTGAACACTAATTTGAATGACATATTTTATTAACATTTGTATGTGTTTTTCGTTAGCCCTTTTATCTTTCTGAATAAGTGTATAGGTTAAATTTATTCTTTTTTAAGGTAATTATTAAATAATAACAACAGCTCAAAAGGGAAACTATATTCAGGATTGCATGTATAGCACATATTTAATACAGCTCACTCAATAGTACATTCTTACTACATTTTTCCTGCCATATAGCATAAAAATAGCAAATCAGTTCTGCACAGAAACAATACTCTAAAATTCTTAACTTTCTGAGATTCAGTATAATCTATGTTTTATCAACCACTCATATTTCAACCGATGATTTCTATAATAACCTTGATATTCAATCTTATTTAGAAGTTGCCTATTTCAAGGATGTAATTTCCCAATGCCATTATTATCCTAATAACTTTTATATTAACCTACCTAAAATGCCACCTGTTTTTCATCTGTATTGTGTACTGAATTTCTACCATTAAAATATAAAACAAATTTTTGGCACAGTTTACCTAAATTTTGGTGATACTTAAAAAAATAAAGATAGTGATTTCTAGCATCTCCTTTTAGAATAAGGCATCTCAAAGAACAAAGATGATAAAAGGCTTCCTTTACCTTTCTCTTATATGTAAACACATCTGGCTGCTTGTAGTCTGTCAGAGTTTGGCTTTCAAAATAGTCTTACCTGCGACTATGAGAATAGATAGCTACTAATTCACACCCCTTTACTTGTATGAATCTACCTAATATGATCGTACTCAACACAGGATCCACTCACAGTATGTTGGAGAGAGTCAGAATGAGTAAAACAATTCTGTTCGATTGCGGCCAAGCATTTAGGAGTAAGGTTTGCATCTCATGCTGGTATAAACTTTATGAGCAGTAACCAGTAAGCTGATTTGTCTTATATCAGGGTGTGGTAGGTAGGTACATAATACATTTGGAACTCTCCAATACTTGTTACAGATTTTTGAAATACCAGTCCTGTGGATTCATGGAAATGAGCTTTGTTTAGTTGTGTGTGTGTGTGTGTGTGTGTGTGTGTGTGCATATGCTTTATTTCCGAGTGAATATTAGTTCTTCCTTTTCCCACTGTCCCTAGGAAATGGGCTGTAGGGAGGGGTCCTCACACGGGTCCAGCTGCATTCTCAGTGCACCAATTTTATGAAGGTACCAGAGTTGGAGAAATTCCTCTGGCATGGCATGAAAGCCAGAAAAGGGCAGGACGTTATCATAGTAGTGGTGGCTGATGGGCTGCTCACGCATGTTCACAGAGAAGGGCCAGAAGCCATAGATGGCCACCTCCTCACAGAGGCCCAGGGCTGCGCTCACCAGAAAGAGTCCTGTGGACAGGCGTTTGGCATGAATTCCCCTACTTTTCCAGAACTTTCCAATGCTACGCAGAAAGTTTGGGTTAGCAAAGAGCACTGTTTGATTGGCACCGACATCTGACAGTGTATAATAAACCCGGAGGGAAGGCTCTGTTCCTGTCTTCATAGAAAAAGCAGGCATATAGATGTAGCTGTGGTTATAAATTTTCATGTTGTCCACAAATGTCTTTCTGGACCACAGCAGGTTCTGAAACCTATTAAAGAGAAAAAGAGGCTCAATTACCCTGGAGAAAAGAAATTCATCAACACCCACTCTGCTGTTCTTCTGATGGACTTGATTGCTCATACATCCTTGAACTTCCAATTCTTTCTCATCATGTAGCTTGGCTTTCCCCCATCTCAGCAATCTAGACTCAGTTTGAGAGTCCTTAATGAGATATTCTCTTAACTGAAGTGCATTGCACATTTTGTTCTCTTCCACATTTCATTTGCCTGGAATGTAAGGATGGTTTAATACCCATGAATTGAAAAGGTTTTGGTTACTGAATAGATTTTGAGAGAAGCTATTTGTGTGGTCTGACCTCAGGACTGATTCCACATCTGCAAATCAAAGGAACGTCTTCTAAAATGCTTCTTCATTTTGAAATTCTATGATTCTGCAAGTATTCAGATCAATCACTGCTATTTTATAACTGTAATATTACATTAAAAACTTGTTATAAAATGATGCTAAGAGTTGCTCATGTTGCTTGCACCAAAGAACACTTCTTTCCTATTTTCTTTCATTTTGGGTTATATGAAGTGAAAGGTCAACTATGTGCATCTAAAATTTATGGTACGCATCCTATGTGTCAGAAGAATTAAAAATTTAATGACACAATTTTTTGGACACTTTGGTCACTGACAAGGGTATATAGAGTGTACTAAAACAATGATGAGGATTCAGTGTTCCTGTACCAAGCAAGGCTGGAATTGATGGAGACTGTGGTGACGGATGAGGCATGTGGCAAAAAACTTGTGCATCTCTCCTTTGTTTGGTCTTCATTCTGTGGCCTTGGGGAGTCTTCACAGCAGTAAGTACTTACAGGATTTACTATTTGGGTTACAAATATCTCATCATTTGTTTAGTGGTCAGTCCATGTCAAGAAAGGTAACTCTGGCAGTTGAGAAGGTGTTCTGGAGAAGGAGGAGGCTGGTGAACTAAAGACCAGTTAAGAAGTTGCTGGAGTAGCTCAAGTGAAAACAAAGAGAGAAAGACAATGAAGTAGGCTAGGGCCTTGCAACCTTTGTTTTCTTCCACAGGAAGGGGAGCCACTCTCAGGTTATGTGCAGAAGGAGCAGCAGCATCTGAGAATGGAACTGAGCCACAGCTAGCAGAAGGAGGCTGGCCTGACATCATAATTATATGAAACCAAAGTTATGAATACACAAATCCACAGGATGTTATGCAGCAACCAGTGTTATTAACCTTGCCTGCCATGAAAGGTGTGTTTCTCAAGCCCAAAGGAAGGGAAATTGCTCGAGTTTTCTTCATGTCCTTGATTTGGCAGCCTGCTTTAGCAATATTTCCTGGGCTCTGACAAATAGAGAAGAGATCACAGCATTTTTAGGTGGAATCACTTTACCATAGAAGAAGTCAAGGAAACCATTGAACCATATTTTGGAGCTGAGCTAGCTTCTCTAGCAGAAATTCCCATTTCCCAACTTCCAAATAGGCTCTGCTTAGAAAATATTAAATTTTTCATCCTTTTAAAAATGTTTTTTATTGATTTAAGAGATGAAGAGAGAGGAGTGATAGAAACATCAGTGATCAGAGAGAATCATTGATTGGTTGCCTCCTGCACTACCCCTACAAGGCATTGCAACTGGGCATGTGCCTTGACCAATAATCGAACCGTGATATCCTAGTTTATAGGTCGATGCTCAACCATTGAGCCATATTGCCCAGGCAATCTTTCATCCTTCTTAATTGCCCATCCCTATCTCTCCTCCTAAACAGTAATTCTTTCTCAATAATGTAGACACACACACTGCAGACAGTACTCTACTTAGTTTGAATAGTGGTTCTCAAACTATAGCTGGAATGATGTGATGTCACTTTCTGATGAGAGCTGTCCAGGGAGATAAATTTTTATCCAGCACTCCCCAGATTGTGATATTACTTTTATCTACTTCATTTTTCAATAAATAACATTAAGTCAATTATTTAATTAAACTTAATAACTATTTATGGCATACTTGTTATATTTAATGTTATCCTAATCAAGAGTTTAACAGAAATGGTTTTGAACTTTACCAAATTATTATAAAATTAAATCAAAATTGTAAGAGTAGTGTCCAGCTTATCTTTCCAGCCTCATAACTCAGTTACTCTTCATGACTTCAACCTATGCTCCAGTCATTCCTGTATGTGTACCATTCCAGTTGTTTTTTTGCATATATAAGTCCCTTGTTGCTCATCATTTATGACTTTTTCCTAAATATATTTTTATTGATTTCAGAAAAGTAGGGAGAGGAAGAGAGAGATAAAAACCATGATGAGAGAGAATCATTGATTGGCTTATTCCTGAAGCCCCACCCCGCCCCTACTGGGGATTGAGGTATAACCTGGACATGTGTCCTTGACTAGAATTGAACATGGGACCCTTCAGTCCATGGGCCAATGCTCTATCCACTGAGCAAAGCCAGCCAGGGTTCATCATTCATTGTTGATGGGAATGCGAAATGGTACAGCCATGCCGAAACCAGTTTGGCTCAGTGGTAGAGCGTCGGTCTGCGGACTGAAAGATCCCAGGTTCGATTCTGGTCAAGGGCATGTACATTGGTTGCAGGCACAACGTCAGTAGAGGGTATGCAAGAGGCAGCTGGTTGATATTTCTCTCTCATTGACGTTTCTAGCTCTCTATCCCTCTCTCCTCTCTGTAAAAAAATCAATAAAATATATATTTTTTAAAATGGTACAGCCACTTTGGAAGGCAGTTTGGTGGTTTCTTACAAAATTAGACTTTACCATGCAATCTAGCAATCACAATCCTTGGTATACCCAAAGGTGTTGAAAATGTATATCCACAAAGAAACCTGCACAAGCATACTCATAAGTGCCAAAACTTGGAGCAACCAAGATGTCCTTCAGTAGGTGAATGGATAGAAAAACTATTAAATCATACAATGGATAGCTCAGCACTAAAAAGAAATGACCTATCAAGCTATGACAAGACAGGGAGAAATATTAAATGCATATTACTAAGTTAAAGAAGTCAGTCTGAAAAGGCCACATACTGCATGATTTCAACTTAATGACATTCTGGAAAAGGTAAAACTATGGAGACTATAAAAATCAGTGGTTACCCAGGGTTGGAAGGGAATAATAAAATGAATAGGTGGAGCACAGAGGGTTTTTATGGCAGTGAAAAGATACTACATGATACCATAATGATGGAAATATGTCATTATATACTTGTCCAAACCAACAATATGTACAACACCAAAAGTGACCCATAATGTACCATAAGCTAGGGATTTCGGGTGATTATAATGTGCTGATGTAGGTTCATCAATTATAACAAATGTACCACTCTGGTGTGGAGGCTGGTAATGGCAGAGGCTGTGCACATGTGGGTATGAGGTATATGGGAAATCTTTGTACTTTCTTCTCTCAATTTTGCTGCAAAGTGCTCTAAAAACATAGTCTTAAAAAAAACAACAACACACCATAGCTTCTTTACACAATAGCAATCACATTTTAGAAATACATAATAAAACAAAGATACATTATAAATTTAGAACTGTCAAGTCAGAGATGAGCACAAAGAGCCAATATATACAACTTGATTGTTGAATCTCAAACAGAAGGCAGGGGAGGGTGGGTAGGAAGAGATCAACCAATGAACTTGTATGCATATATACATAACCCATGGATACAGACAATGGGGTGGTGAGTGCCTGAGGGGTAGGGAGGATGGGAGTGGGCTGGAAGAGGTTTATTGTTGGGGGGGGGAACCTATGTAATATTTTCAACACTAAAGATTGTTCTTAAAATTGACACTGGAAAAAAATAAATTAAATAAATAAAAATAAAGTATGCTGCTGGGACCGGTTTGGCTCAGTGGATAGAGCGTCGGCTTGTGGATTGAAAGGTCCCGGGTTTGATTCTGGTTGCGGGCACATCCCCAGTAGGGGGTGTGCAAGAGGCAGCTGATCGATGATTCTCTCTCATAGATGTTTCTAACTATCTATCCCTCTCTCTTCCTCTCTGTGAAAAATCAATAAAATATATTAAAAAATAAAAAAATAAAAAAATATGCACAATCACAAGCATGAAATTTATACCAATTAAAAGTACAGCAAAGGAACAGTTTTCCACACATCAAATTGGTAAAAAATTAAGAAGCAGGTCAATAATTATTAGAAAAAGTGGGAGAAACGGGTACTTTCATGCTTCAAATAGGAGTATGAATTGTCACAGACAGTTCCAAAGGTGATTGGCACTTTTAATCCACACACCTTCTGACCCAGCACTTCCATTTCTCACCTGGTACCCTTGCTATTTACAGAGCAACCTCCCTCACTTCTCATCGGTCTGGACTCAAAAGAAAGCCCTCAGAGAAGCCTCTTCTGGCCACCCACCTCCTCTCTCCTCTTTGTTGCAGTTCTTCGCAGTCCCTATCACTACATGACATTTTAGTACATGTGCATTGTTTGTGTCTTCTTGAATGTCCGCAGGGAGAACTCTGCTTTATTTGCTGCTCAATCCACAGCACCAGAAAGGGCGCTGGGCACACGGCACCAAGAAAAGATGCATGAATGTTTGCTGAAGGATGCAGAAAATCAGAAGCAGCCTAGAAGTCTATCAGGAAAGGAATAGTAAAACAGTTGTATCCAGACAGTTGTATCCAGAATCCGGATACAAAGCAGTTCTTTTACTAAGACAGATCTATTTGTATTGAAGTGGAAATATTTCCAAGGCAAGATGTTATAGGAAAAACAAAGAAATTCCATAATTACTACTGCAATTTGTATAGTGGGTTATCACACCAGATAAAGATAACTAGTATATATTTTCTATAGTAACACATATGTATGTAAATACATGGGGAAATGTTAGGATTCACATGAAGCTGAAAATAATGCCTACCTGTGGGAATAGTAAGTATGGGGGAGGGGTAAAGGGCCAAGGGAAGCTTTATTTATTTATTTGTCTTTATTTTTATTGTTGACACTATTACAGATGTCCCTATTTTTCTCATTTGCCCCC